AAAAAAAAAAAAAAAAGAAAGAAAATAAAGAATACAGGCAGTTGTATTCCTCATAGCAGTGAATCCATCTCTGTTGGAATATAAGGACATTTTAGTTCAAAGCCTCATGAAAAAAGGTTGGGATTTCAGTTCAGAGATTTCAGGCGTATGAAAAACAAAATGTCTGAGAAATGCCCACAAATGCCAGAATTATTGGATTTAAAAAATTAAAATTTCTAATATATATAGTTTCTTTATAGAATAAAAATAAGAGAACTATATCATCTCCCCAAAATATAAAAAGAATATGTGATGGCTAAATATTTCTGGCTTTTTTCTTTCTTTCTTTTTTTTTTTTTAGTGTTTAATTTGATTGCTCATAAACAAGCTCTGTATGACTGTATTGCCTAGTGACACTATTGACAAGGCTTTAAAAGTCTGCAATTAGCAGGCTGAATGGTATTGTAGAGAGGTTCTGGAAAAAATGGCATGGATTACTGAGATGCAATATTCCTTTTTAGACGAATACTCAGTCTTTATATAGCCATCAAAGCCAGGGCATACTGCAAAGTAAATAACATTAAAAAAAATTAAGCAGGAAAATCATAACACTATAGTGAATCATCAAATCCCTGAGGGAAAAACATTTAAGATACTAGGAGTCTTCTAGTGTTAAGCATTTAGATATTTGGTTACAGTTTTTAAAATGTATCTTGCTTTAGTAAGTAAATGTATAATTTAGTACCAATTATATTTGATGTGACCTCACTATGGTATCATAAAACAGTGGGATGTACAGAAAATTCTTGCTCACAAACGTAGTCTGATTCAAAATGTGGATTCTCAGGCCCCAACTCCGGAAAGCCTGGTCAGTATGTGGGGAATGGGGCTTGGCATCTGTGCTTTTCACAGCCAGCCTGCTCCTGCCCTGTGAAATTGATGATTTTGATGAGGTTGGTCTGGGTACCCAGGTCAGAGAACCATCTAGAGCAGTGGTTCTCAACCTTCCTAATGCTGTGACTCTTGAATACAGTTCCTGTGGGTCACAACCCATAGGTTGACAACCGCTGATAGAGTCTAGAGCCACACCAGGTTAGTGCTTCACCTCTGGCATTACAGAATTAGAAATGTCACAGTAGTTTTAAGATGGCAACAGTGCTGGGCACTGCATCACCCACAGATTGTTAAAACCACTCAAGCAGTTCCTCCCCTTTTCCTGCCCAGTCACCCTGTCTGACAAGATTTTCCCGCTTTGCTCATGAGCACCATCTTGGCTTTTCACTGCATGGAAGAATCTAGTCATCTCTCTTGCATGTATTTTTATATATTCCTTCTTTGAGCTTTTCAATGAAATATTATTGAAACTGACAACTGCTCTCCAGAGGGCTTATGTGTCCTGATGAGCCTGTGATTCTAAATAAGTTCTCTGCCTGTGGCAAAACAGTGTTCCACTCAATATAACAATGATTCATTTTCATCATTATGGGTTTGGACCTTTCTTAACAAAGGGTAGATTCTGGCTCGGCACCTGTGGCTCAAGTAGCTAAGGCGCCAGCCACATACATCTAAGGTGGTGGGTTCAAATCCAGCCCAGGCTCACCAAACAACAATGACGGCTGCAACCAAAAAATAGCCAGGCATTGTGGTGGGTGCCTGTGGTCCCAGCTACTTGGGAGGCGGAGGCA